CCCTCGTGGGTTTTTGTTTTCTATCTGTTAATTAAAGTTATATGTTTATTTATGACTGTCTGCGCTTGGGTTCATTTCTGCATTTCGTGACAGAACGAACCAACCACTTTGAACCCAGCAGACAATATGTCTTTTCTGGCTAGAGAGCAATCAGAGGACCATGAGGAATGGTGGCGGACGTTAACCTCTGATCTGAAGGAGGGTAGGACTCCGTTTCCTTCCCAGGGAGAGGAGTCCCTGGAGAAATATGCCCAGGATGTTGAGGGGAGGAGGAGATTTATGCCCGAAATCCTTGTAAACTCTTGTTTCATTGCGGGTCTCAATGCACCACCTCCGATGTGTGAACGGGAAGAGTTGATTCGACGCCCGTTCAATGAAGTGGTGAACTATGTGTGTCGGAGAGAGTGGCAGGATCCTACAAGGACTATGAATGCTCCATCATTGCCAGGGGTTTCGGAGGGTCTTGTTCTAGCTGTTGCAACACTTGGGGACCAGGCTCTCTTCGCCTCAATTCCCAAGGCACCTGCAGTAGCTGGTCGCCGTCGCAGAAAGCGAGGCAGACGGGTGTCAGGGGAATCTGCAGTAGAAACCTCATCTACTGAGTCTGCCCAGCGAGAGCCTGTTCACGTCCCGGTTGTCCAGCGAGAGATGGTGCACGTCCCATCCGCCCAGCGAGAGACTGTTCACGTCACGCCCGCCCAGCGAGAGACTGTTCACGTCACGCCCGCCCAGCGAGAGACTGTTCACGTCACGCCCAGCGAGAGACTGTTCACGTCATGCCCGCCCAGCGAGAGACTGTTCACGTCACCCTTGCTCAGCGAGAGACTGTTCACGTCCCGTCGGCCCAGTCAGAGACTGTCCGCGTCCCGTCCGCCCAGTCAGAGACTGTTCTCGTCCCTTCTGCCCAGTCAGAGATTGTTCACATTCCGTCTGCCTTCCTGAGCTGGAACTATCTGTCTGACACGGATATTGGAGAGGCCGGTGTCCAGTGTTTCGGAGCTGAACCCAGTGCCTGTTCCAGAGCCGGAGGCAGCGCCAGCACCTGTGCCTGTTCCCGAGCCGGTGTCTGTTCCTGAGCCGGTATCTGTTCCCGAGCCATTGTCCGGTCCTGAGAGTACATCGCCATCATGGTCGTCTGAGGGGGTTGTTCCACCGCCAAGGAGAAGGAGGAAAGCTTCATGTCCTCCATCTCAGCTTCTTTCGGGATCTGCATCCACTCTCCAGCCCGCTGCGGCCAGTCCGGTCCCGTCTTCAGAACCATCTGCTTCACTGTTTGTCTCAGGGTCACAGTCGTCTGGTTTGTTTCCTGTGGGTCCCCTGGTTACCCCTGTGACTGTATTGCCCCAGTCTATTGCCTCCAAGACTGTACCCCTTGTATCTCCACCTAGACCTGTTCGGTTTCCTTGCCCTCAACCCTCTCCTATGTCCAGTGAATCTAGGACTGTTTTTTCACCTATCCACTCTGGACCCCCACCTATGAACTCTTTTGTTCCCCCTCCCCCCCTCCCTTGTGTGTTATTTTTGTTAAGTCATCCTCATCCTGTTATTATGTTTTCTTGTTTGCCATTGTTGCTAGTAGTTATGTTTTGTTGGTTTGTGTCTGAGTTACAGTCTGTTATGTCTCTTGTGAAGCGTCTGGTAGCCGCTTCTTAAAGGGGGGGTAATGTCAGGATTTGTCGTGTTGTATAAGGTCATTCTGTTCTGTGAGCTGTCTTGATCTAAGTTTGTACCTTGTTGTCTTTTTCAAGTTTATTGGTCTAGTATTGTCTATGTTCATTTGCCCCCTCGTGGGTTTTTGTTTTCTATCTGTTAATTAAAGTTATATGTTTATTTATGACTGTCTGCGCTTGGGTTCATTTCTGCATTTCGTGACAGCAGCAGCATTGTAACGTGGTGACATTTTCTTGATGAGAGAAAATCCACACAGAGAGTTAAAGTTTAGTGCTGAAGATCTAATATAGTCTGCCTCCTGGTTTTCTGCTGAAGAGGAGGTGTCCAAAGGAAAATAAATTGTTCTCTTGAATCTGTGTGATATGAAATGCACTCTAATTCCTCAAATGACTTTTTGAGCTCAATATTAATTTTTTCATATTCACTGTCTATGAATTTAGCAAAAGTGTTACGACATGGGGCACCCCCCTTTCCTCCTCCTTGTATTGGTATTTTATCAAGGATAGTTCTGAATGACTCATCCACAGTGGACAGGGGAAGCATGTTTTCAACAACATACCTTGCAATCAATGTGTTCAGCTCGGCCTTGGTCACCAGTCGCTGACCCGCCTTGGCCAAGCGTTGGTTGACCTTCGTTGGAGCTCACGTTAGCTGCATTTGGGCTTGGGTTGGGTTAGCAGTAGCAGTTGCAACAAGTGTCGTGTTAGCATGTATTGATGTGAGGTACTTTATAAGATTCAAGTTGCTTGAGGCAGATGTGGATAAAGTCTTTTTTTCCCTGGGCATAGTGTGTATGTCACATAAACATTCTTGCCTTTAATTTCAATGAGCGACACGTAGTGCCGGTACTTCCAGTTTGAGAATGCTACCTTTGAATTTCTTCATTACTGAAAAAATAACGCCGTTATACTGTACTTAAACACTGTTACTCCCAACACAGGTCATAACTTTCACTAGGTGGAAGAGAAGGCTGCCATACGAGTCAATGGAACTTCGTTTTCTAGTAATTCCAGCTTCACTTCTGGATGCTGTGATGAATTAGTGTACTTGTTCAATTCAGATGCTCTGTGCGTACTTTTAGCTGTGAAAAAACAGATTCATATCCACCCCCAACCTGCTCCCAACATGTCAGCAAAAGACTTTGGATAGTGGCTCACTACTTTGCGAGTAACAGTAAGACACTGTGATCTGGTGGGGTTTGTGTCATGTTTTCTCATTTCGTCAGCAAGGATTCTAATCATTTGTCTTCTGTCAGAAGGAGAAGGTCTCTATCCATTCTCAACAGCACTCTTATACCAGCTGGCATTAAGTTCCAGGGAGCTTTGAAATTTTCAGGCCATGAATGTGAAGCACTGGTTGATGCTAGACTGCTTGATGTTGGCCTTGAGGAGCTTGATGGAGGTGAACCAAGAGTAGGGTTTGTTCCAGGGCGAACCAAGGGGAGAACCTCAGCAGGTTGCAGTACCACTGTGCAGTTTTGATGTTCTGTGAGTATATATATATCAGTTATGTCTCTTAAATTACATCATAAACAATACTAAAATGCATTGTAACACAGTTAAAGGGATAGTTCACCCATTAATTAATCACCCTCACCCTCATCTTTCTAAACAGAAAGACTTTTGTTCACTTTGGTAGATCCTAGAGACTTCTGTCCCTCTATTGACAGTAGATGTAACTTAAACTTTTAGTATAGTTACCCATATGACTGTAGTGGTTTAATTTTAAGAGGCGATGCAAATGCTTTGTTTACCCCCAAAAGCTATATAATTTACCACTTTATTTACAAAATAATAATCTCCAATGTGAATTCACACAACAATGTCTCCTCTCATGTCACCACAACACACTCATGTTGCTTCATAAAATAGAGGTTACACCAGTGGTGTAACATCCATTACTTTAATGTCTATGGAGTGACAGAAGTTTTTCAATTTCATCAAAAATATCTTAATTTGAGTTTTGAAAATGAAGGATTGTCTTGCTTGTGTGGAACGACATGAGGGTGAGTAATTAATGACAGTGTTTTGATTTTTGGGTGAATTAACCCTTTAAATTAACATATAAGTGTAACGGAGGCCAGCTAGTAGTTGCTGTGCGAGTAAACCTCACTCCCCGATCTCAATAGGCGCTCTAGCGACAGACGCTAGAGGCTGTAGTCTTTAGCCTCCTTGTTAGAGTGCCTGACTCTCATGCCGGAGACCCGGGTTCGAGGCCCGCTCGGAGCGGGGCGAGTTGGACCCGGGTGTGAGGGGTTACATTGGTGCCGTGACCCGGATGAGAGTGAGGTTTAGGGGGGTGAGTGTAACGGAGGCCAGCTAGTAGTTGCTGTGCGAGTAAACCTCACTCCTCTGATCTCAATAGGTGCTCTGGCAACAGACGCTAGAGGCTGCAGTCTTTAGCCTACTTGTTAGAGTGCCTGACTCTCATGCTGGAGACCCGGGGTTCGAGGCCCGCTCGGAGCGGGGCGAGTTGGACCCGGGTGTGAGGGGTTACATATATATATATATAATTATTTGTTTTTTAATCTACATCACCTTTACCTTGATTTTTCCAGGAACTAAGAAGTTTTCTGCATTGGATCGGTCGTATAAACTCCAAAATGTCATCTTCTTCTACATAAACCAAATCATCCAGGCCCTCGACACCTTGGTCCATGAGCTTCTCAACCAGCTGGTTGGTTACATCTGGAGATAGGTTTGGCAAAACCTGACAATACAACATATTTCAGGACTCCTTTCATTCCAGACATGAATCTAGAATTGGGAAGGAATTATGGAGAACAATTACTGACAAGCCACACATTGAGTATTTAGCCAGAGGATAGTAATCCAGCTGGAATTCCACTGGAGGTGATAGCTGGGCGAGTGCAGAATGAATGGGAGTCTATGGGGCTAAACGGCTAAATGTGTCTCTTTCACCTGCTTGTCGTTAAATCCAAATAGATTTTATTGTTGATTCCGCAAGTTCAATATAGATTACAGGCCAAAAGTCGAATGAACGAGTACTTATGTCCTTTTGATTTCTTACAGGTTAGGTCATTGTTGGCCCGAACACGCTAGCATTCTGCTATTGTGTGACGTCATCACATTTTTGAACGGATTTTTAGAACAGATAAGTGAACTTAAAAATGCAATTTTCTGCTTAGTGTATTTTCTTAGCCCTCCCTTTTAAATGCAACTTTCAAATTACTTGACAAAAAATTACATCCTGAGAAAAATGGATTTCTGGGGGTGAAACCCCATTGACTCCCATTCATTCTGCACTCGACCGCGAGCGCCCCCGCATGGACAGAGACGCGTTACTGCAGCCAGTCCAGAACCCAGCACAGCAAAACGAAAGCAAAACGAAAGGAACACGTGTCCGCACCTAAACCTTTCGCTCACTGGATTTGATTTAATTTATGATTCAGAAAACATGTCTACTGATGTCAATTTAGCACAATGCCTACCAAATCTAATAACACTCGCGGACATTTAAATGTGTTTAATCCTCAATCGAGACCAGCAAGAGATTCTGAGAACGACGCGCGCGGACTGACAACAAGCGTTACTGAGTTTAAAATACTGATGAACTCTCTTCTTAGTGGACAAGACCGCAAGTAAGTTTATTATATTCTCCATTACAGTCATTTTGTATTATTAGGAACTTGTTTATTAAGCGAGATTTAAATGTGAAGTTACAGAAGGCTGTTCTTCTACTACTCCGAACAGAAGAAGAATCTGACAGAAATTACAATCTTTTGAAGTAAAAACACAAGATGTTTTATTGAGAAAGGTTTATTCAACACGAATATGTTTTTGAAAGTTTTCTCCCATTTCCGCTTCCGTGTTAGGCTGTTGTTTGTGTGATGTGAAATCGAAAGTATTTTTGAAGCAGACATTACAGTAGACAGACAGATGAAGCCTAACGTGTCCAACAACAATCTGCTGTTATTAAATATTTCGGTTCATATATACCAATTATGATTAGTAATATTACAGTATGTCTATTAAAATTCTGCATACTTTTACTTACAGTAATCAGTCATTGTGAACTTGAAGTGATGACTGAATGGCAAACGATTCAACAATCAATAAAGATTGGGTAAATATGTTTGTAATATGATATTATACTGTAATAGAGAATATAACAAATTGGGTTCAGTTTTCCCAGCACAGTGTACATTTCTGTTCCCCAATGAATTCGTATTTAGTGTCAGTTAAACTCATTAAACTCATAAAAAACAATCAGAAATGATTAAGACTGTTCGGTTATTTTACACAGCAAAATATTTGTTTGTAACTCGCTTTATTTGATACATAGTTTTTGCTGTCGTTGATGATAACTCTTTATTCTTCAGTAAGATCTTGTTGATGTGTGTAAATGTTGTGATTTGCAGGTGATGCTGAAGGATTGAGTGTTTTCTGATCAGTTTTCAGGGTCAGTTTAGCTGCAGTATGTCAGAGGAAAGAGGAAAGGACTCTCTCTCTCAGATGAGTCTCTCAGAGAAACACAGGTGAGACTGCGTCTGTTTTCACACTCTCACTTTAAACTCCACTGGACTTTGTGTTTCCCTGTCAATAACACAACTTTAAACATTGCTCTATATTTGCAAATACTTGCACAACTTCAATTTAACTTCTTAAATGAACACTGACATTGTCTATAAAGCCCTGTTTGGTGTATAGACATTTTCACAGAATAATTTGTTATGCTGAATTAATCCAAATAAATGACTTTAGATTATAAAATTATTGATAGACATTATAAAATTACTATTTAATTCAAGTATGCTAACAAAACTATTGCACAGACATTTTTGTTCTCTGTTTCTGTCAATAAACAAACACTTGACATGTTCTGTTAAATTGAAGTATTTTTAACATGTTTAATCTCACTCGTGTATATTAAAGAAACTGTTAAACTAATGTGAGCCAGTAAATAAAATGATGGTGAACTATAAAACTGTAAATTGTGTGAGTGTGTGTGCTTCTGTGGAGGATTAGATAAAGACACAGGTGTGTTTCAGACACAGTTGATCCTCCTTTACTAAAGTGTTTTCTCTCTCTCTCTGTTCTTTGTGTCATCAGTGTAAGATCAGGCTCACATGTGTCCAGCTCTGTGTCTCTGAAGAGTGATGACTCTAAAGGAGGACTTCCACCAGACTTTAGTGAGAAATCACCATCATCTAATGAAAGGTATTTTGTGTGTTTAAATTACATTATAGGGTTGTGTTATTTGTCCACAGTGGTGTGTGTGATTGAACTTGACTGTGTAAGGGGATTTATGAAACTCACTCCAGTAACACAGTTACACAGGCAGACACAAGGAGGCATAAATTCACTATGGAAAATAGATCATGCAACTAAACATGTCCATCCATCCAACCGTAGTTATAAATGAACAAATGCACAGCTATACTGCATTTAATTACTATTTGCAACTTTAAACCTTTTCAACTGTTCTTTGTGTCATCAGTGTAAGATCAGGCTCACATGTGTCCAGCTCTGTGTCTCTGAAGAGTGATCACTCTAAAGGAGGACTTCCACCAGACTTCAGTGAGAAATCACCATCATCTAATGAAAGGTATTTTGTGTGTTTAAATTACATTATAGGGTTGTGTTATTTGTCCACAGTGATTGAACTTGACTGTGTAAGGGGATTTATGAAACTCACTCCAGTAACACAGTTACACAGGCAGACACAAGGAGGCATAAATTCACTATGGAAAATAGATCATGCAACTAAACATGTCCATCCATCCAACCGTAGTTATAAATTAACAAATGCACAGCTATACTGCATTTAATTACTTTTTGCAACATTAAACCTTTTCAAATGTTCTTTGTGTCATCAGTGTAAGATCAGGCTCACATGTGTCCAGCTCTGTGTCTCTGAAGAGTGATCACTCTAAAGGAGGACTTCCACCAGACTTCAGTGAGAAATCACCATTATCTAATAAAAGGTATTTTGTGTTACTAATTTTGTCATGCGTTGACTGCGTAAAAAAGTTCTATCAGTGAAAACCAATCATAAAACATATTTAGATAAAATATTATTAGTAGTTTTCACAGCTAATGCGTATTTCTCTTTCTGTAAAATATCAGTTAGTATTTTATTTTACTAATGTGATTACAGGCTTCAATATGAGACATTAGACTCAGACCGTCAGACTCACAGGAACCACGAGAATTTCAAAGACAATCTTCTTGGGATCTTCCAGGTAGGAAAACACATTTTTATGAATGTTTAATATTTCTAATAAACAAATATGTTATTGATCAAAGAAATTTATTTACATTTTTCTTGATCACTTATTTTTCCTTTTTAAACACATTTTAGCTCAACTTGGTCAGCATGTTATTCTTTTAACTGGATTTTGTAATGTACAAATGTTTAATAATTATTGAATAAATTGTGGTTACCAAAATTAGATGGACGATTTCGCTTAAATTGTGTTTTTCTGTCTTTTTTATTGCTTTTGTTTATAGGATCTTGAGAGCAAAATAATCACATTTCTGAAGAATGAGCTGGAGAAGTTAAAGAAAATATTACAACATGAGAACACACAACACTTTGTGAAGGACTTTAATGAGAACAGATCCAGGATCAAATCAGCAGCTCTTGATCTCACACTACATTACCTGAGAGAGATGAAGCAAGATGAAGCTGCTGATGCTCTAGGCAAGAGACTCGTGATCATCTGTCTGATTGTTTCTTATAAATGTAGGAGAGGAAATGAAGGCTAAAACTATCTATTTTCTGTTCCCGTGTTTAGGTGAGCTGTTCTTCATTCCTCAGCTGAAATGTGGCCTAAAGAAGAAGTATCAATGTGTGTATGAAGGAATGGCGAAGCAAGGTGACTCCACACTCCTGAATAACATCTACACAGATCTCTACATCACTCAGGGTGGCAGTGAACAGGTCAATACTGAACATGAGGTCAGACAGATTGAAGTTGCTTCCAGACGTCATGAAGCACAAGAGATCCAGGTTGAATGCAAACATTTGTTTGAAGCGCCTGAACAAGACGAGGAGATCCGAACTGTACTGACAAAAGGAGTCGCTGGCATCGGGAAATCAGTCTCTGTGCAAAAGTTTGTTCTGGACTGGGCTGAAGAAAAAGAAAATCAAGATATCAGCTTCATATTTCCTCTTCCATTCAGAGAGATGAACTTAAAGGAGAAAGAAAAACTAAGTTTGATGGACCTTATAACTCAGTTTTTCCCAGAGACAAAAGGACTGAACCTTACAAGATGGAATCAGTTCAAAGTGCTGTTCATCCTTGATGGACTGGACGAATGTCGCCTTCCTCTGAAGTTTGATTGTAATGAGACGTGGCGTGATGTATCGTCACCAGCCTCTCTGGATGTTCTCCTAACGAACCTCATGAAGGGAAATCTGCTTCCTTCTGCTCTCGTCTGGATCACCAGCAGACCAGCAGCTGCCAGTAAGATTCCTCCTGACTGTATCGACCGGCTGACAGAGATACGAGGATTCAGCGACGCACAAAAGCAAGAGTACTTCAAAAAAAGATTCAAGGATGATGTTCAAGCCAACACAATCATAGATCATGTTAAACAATCAAAGAGTCTCTTTATCATGTGCCACATCCCAGTCTTCTGCTGGATTTCAGCCACTGTTCTCCAGAACATTCTGGAGGAGAAGAGAAATAATGATGTGAGAAACACTCAGGCTGATGAGATCTCTAAAACACTGCAGGAATCAAACATTGAAGACACTCCCAAGACTCTGACACAAATGTACACACACTTTCTCCGCTTTCAGATCCAGCAGAGCCGCCGAAAGTATGATGGAGAATACACACCAGATGTTTCCTGGGATAAAGACGCCATCCTTTCACTGGGGAAACTGGCATTTCATCATCTGGAAAGAAACAACCTGATCTTCTATGACACAGACCTGGAAGCCTGTGGTCTTGACGTCTATAAGGCATCAGTGTACTCAGGCATGTGTACCCAGATCTTTAAGGAGGAAACAGGGATCGTTCTTGGTACCATGTACTGCTTTGTTCACTTGAGCATTCAAGAGTTTATTGCAGCCCTTTATGCACATCTGTTTCTAGACATCAACAAGACAAGTGTGTTTGATCATGAGTCTACAGAACAGGAAAACAGAAATGAAACCATGATTGATTTTCTCAAGACTGCAGTGGACAAGGCGCTGGAGAGTGACAATGGACACCTGGACCTTTTCCTTCGCTTCCTCCTCGGTCTGTCACTCCAGTCCAATCGGCGACTCTTACAAGGTCTGTTGACACAGGGAGACGGCACTGATTGGACCAAAAAGGGGATAGTTCAGTACATCAAGCAGAAATTAGAAGCTAATCTTCCTGCAGAGAGATCCATCAATCTGTTCTACTGTCTGAATGAACTGAACGACCAAACTCTGGTGAACGAGATTCAGACCCACCTTAGCAAAGGAAGTCTCTCATCTGGTGACCTTTCACCTGCCCAGTGGTCTGCTTTAGTCTTTGTGTTGTTGACATCAGAGGAAGAGCTGGAGGAGTTTGAGCTTCAGAAATTCAAGAAATCAGACGAGTGCCTCATTAGATTATCGGCAGTCATCAAAACCTCCAGAAGAGCTCTGTAAGTCTTTTATATATTGTCATGTTTAGCTCTCAACTGAAAAATGCGTTTATCTTAGGGATGCACCGATCCACATTTTTTCACTTCCGATCCGATCCCGATATCTGACTTTGGATATCGGCCGATACCGATACTTTTCCGATACCAGACCTGTGTTTGCTTTAACATTATTTATCATTATTGTTGATTTTATATGATGCTGAAATAAACACCTCTCTACAAGCAAGGATGATACGTACGTATGTAGCCTATGTCAATATATATATATATATATATATATATATAATAGATATATTAAACAATAGATAGACAATTAAACAAAGATATACACATTATACAGGCCTACACAGTGCTTTAATTTCAGGAAGGTCTACTAACATTATTCAGGTATATCGTCTAAAAAGAATTATAATAAAGTAATCAAAAGTAAAATAGCACTGCAAAGTTTATCATAGATAGATTTATGCTTATTAAAGCTGAAGTTATTCATTCAAGAGCTGTGAGTGATTTTCTCTTTGCCTTTGGTTGTTTTATTCTCAGTAATGTCGCAATCGTCACTTTTATACTGCTGCCCCTTTAAGAACTAGTGCGGATTTCATAGTCTACTGATGCACCATATTTTTCTCCCAACTATTTCCATAAACCGTTTATGTCTAAATGAACGTAGTTAAGTGATAATCTCCAAGCCGGTCGTTTTGACATTTTTGTGCAGGCTACATTTGATCGTTTAGACGCGCATATGAAGCCCAAAGTATAATTTGCTTGTCTGTTTCGGAGCGCGCGCCGCCCTCTTGCGCAAATTTTGTGCTTTTAATAGCTCTTTTTATTATTAAAAGCGTCCCGCAATTTAGCAACAGCAGAGACGGCATTTTACAACAATTACCGATCCTGCTGATTCTGTCTTAAAGTTTGAGTTTTACGGAGAAATGACACAGTGCACCGCCGCGATGGGAAGGAAGTTGGCTACACAGAATGCGGCTATTGTTTAATGTTTTTTTTTTTTTTTTACCTCACTATATTCTTTAATCTTTGGAAATCAGACTAATATCACAGATCTAAAGTGTAACCAGGCTATGTGTGGTATCTTCAGTAATATAGGAACTGAATCATGCGGAATAACTTGGATATAACTTTATTCTCTTGTGCAGCAGAGTCTACATGTGACCGGCATACTTTTCTCTTAGATACCAACAACTCTTACTCTACCCCCCGAACCCCACATGATCCCCAAGGTCAACTGCACCTCTTGTGGTGTGGAGAGGAACTGCTGTTAACTACACATAAATCTCAGTATACCACATCCCTCCCCCTTAAGAGGAAACATACATTTACAATAACTTTTTTTTTTTTTTTAAACTAGCCCCTCCAAATTACTCACAAATGTATGGTTAGGGAAATTGAACATAACATTGTTAACACAAGACATACACGTCTAGTATTTTCACATGTTTTCTTTTTTTTCTTTTTTTTTTTTTTTTCACAATGAAAAAATAACTCCATGAACATAATTAAAAGAGAAAGGAAAAAACTAGGAAGGTGGGTAGACTGCCATCCTTCCAGTGAGTCCCAGAGCTCATTCTTGCTCTGACTTGAGGGATCTCACTACTATTTCACAAAGTCTTTCAGATAAGCGGGAGTCTGTCTTATGCGCTCGGAACGACGCAGCCCAGGAAGTAAATCTACTCCTGCTTTTGTCTGTTCAACCACGGAGGAGTGTGCTTGGTCTGTCTCACCAGCAGTCATTTTCTCTTTCTGCACAATGGTGACGGCAGAGTCTGCAGGCAAGGCCTCCAGTCCTGTCTCGGAAACCTGAAGAGTGATAGGCTCCTCCAACCTCTCCTGTGTCGGCGATTCATGGCGTTTTCTGATTTGATCAACATGGCGCCTAATGACTCTTCCATCTCCCGTCTGTACAGTATAAGATACAGGTCCGGTGTTCTCTTCAACGACAGCCGGTATCCAACGAGGACCATGACTGTAATTTCTGGTGTACACATCATCCCCAGGTGAAAAACTCCTCCACTTACTGTGTGTGTCATGTTGTTCCTTCTGCTTGAGTTGTTTCTTCCGAATCTTTGACTTCACATCCGGCAGCAGAAGATCCAGTGTTGAGCGTAGTCTTCGGGACATCAGCATTTCCGCTGGTGACAATCCAGTCGTGGTTTGCGGGGTGATTCTGTAATTAAACAAAAATCTAGCGACTCTTGTTTCCAAAGTGTCCCCCTTTATTTTCTTTATTCCTTGTTTGAACGACTGTACAGCACTTTCCGCTAGACCGTTCGATGCTGGGTGGAATGGTGCAGATGTTATGTGCTGTATTCCATTCTGTTTTAGGAATGCTTGAAAGTCTTGGCTTGTGAAGCAAGTTCCATTGTCTGATACTAAGGTTTGAGGCAGACCATGTATGCTGAAGCACTGTCTGAGCTTTTCAATGGTAACTTGACTGGTTGCTGTACTTGCTGGGTACACGTCAATCCATTTTGAGTGTGCATCTACAATGATGAGGAACATTTTCCCTAGAAAAGGCCCAGCGTAATCCACATGCAATCTGCTCCAGGGTGTCTCCGGCCACTCCCATGGATGTAGCGGTGCTCCTGCTGGAGGATTTCTGTTCTCCTGGCATGTATGGCAGGACTGCACTTCCTTTTCAATTTCGGAGTCCATCCCTGGCCACCAGACGTATGAACGTGCTAAACCCTTCATTCTACATATTCCTGGGTGTGTGTGGTGTAGCTGTTTTAATATGGCTTTCCTACCTCTCTGTGGAACGACCACTCTTGCCCCCCAGAGCACACACCCATCTTTCACACTCAGCTCCAGTTTCCTCTGACTGTAGGGTTTGTACTGTGCATCTACCTCCCTTGGCCATCCTTTCAGACACCAGCCTCTCACTTGGGAGAGTGTTTCATCCTTATCGGTCCACTGTCTGACCTGTTTTGTCGTGATTGGTGGGTCCTCCATTACCTCCAACATGAAGACCTGGTCAGACTCGTCCTCTTCCCCTGTTTGTGGCAATGGTAACCTGCTCAGCGCGTCTGCATTTGCATGTCCCTGCCCCGGTTTGTATATGATTTTGTACTCATACGCTCTGAGGAGAGTTGCCCACCTCTGCACTCTTGGTGACCCCATCTGAGGTACTGGCTTTTTCTCATGAAAGAGTGATATCAGTGGTTTGTGGTCGGTGCTGATTGTGAATGTTCGTCCGTAGATGTACTTATGAAACCTCTTAATTCCGAACATGATAGCTAACCCCTCCTTATCAAGCTGTGAGTAGCGCTTCTCTGCTGGTGTTAGCGTGCGCGACATGAAGCCCAAAGGTTTTTCACTACCGTCTTCCATGACATGTGACAGCACGGCGCCTAGCCCGTATGGTGAGGCGTCACAGGCGAGCAGTAACTCTTTGTCCGCTGAATAGTGACCCAGGACTTTAGCCGACTTCAGCAACTGTTTTGAGTTCTGGAAAGCTTCTTCCTGTTCTTTGTTCCAGACCCACACAACATCCTTCCTTAGCAGCTTATGTAACGGGGCTAAGCGTGTAGCTAGACTAGGGAGGAACTTGTTGTAGTAATTCAAGAGACCTAAATAGGCCTTTAGCTCAGTCACTGTGGTTGGTGGTGGTGCTTCTTCTATGGCCCTCACCTTGCTCTTCACTGGATGTAAGCCTTCAGCATTCACCACGTGTCCTAGGTATTCTACCTCATTTTGCTGGAACACACATTTGTTTCTGTGAAGTCGCAGGCCAGCGTCGCCTAAGTACCTCCTCCAGCGTACTCAGGTGTTCAGCTTCATCCCTCCCTGTCAGAATGATGTCGTCTAAGTACACAGCTACCCTTGGAAGGCCTTGTAACAGATTTTCCATCGTTCGCTGGAAGATGGCGGGAGCTGACGAGACTCCGAAAGGAAGCCTATTGTAGGTGAACAATCCTCGATGTGTGTTTATTGTGAGGTACTTCTTTGAGGCATCATCCATTACAATCTGTTGATAGGCGTGGCTTAAATCGAGTTTGGTGAACTGTTTCCCTCCTGCCAGGGTATTGAACAGGTCTTCAACACGGGGAATAGGGTACTGCTCTAGTGAGGAAGGCACTGTTAACGGTTAGCTTGTAATCGCCGCATATTTTCTGACCGAACCATCTGGCTTAAGGACAGGAACTATGGGCGCGGCCCATTCGGCGTATTTAACAGGAGCTATAATGTCCTCCTTCAGCAGCCGATCTATCTCCGCTTCTACTTTCGCCCTCATGGCATACGGAACTGAGCGGGGCCGATAGAATTTAGGCTGTGCTTCAGCAGACACCCGAATGGTTGCTTTCATGCCTTTCAAGATGCCTAACTCCTGCTTGAAAACTTCCTCATTTCTCATGAGTACTTGCGGTAGGCTCTGTACCTCTGTTCTCACATTTTTTATTTCTTCCCACTTCAATTTTAGAGCCTCTAGCCATCCTCTTCCTAACAAGCTAGGTCCTGTACCTTTAACCACCACTAGGGGCAATGTCTTCACTTGCTTCTCATAGTTTACTTTCACTTTGGCCACCCCCAAAGTGTCGTAATACCAGTTTCGACCATGGGAGGCGGTATGCGGGCGGGCAACGTTACCACCAGCCAAACTGCAGTACACGAGTGAGTCGCGCTCGTGGCGTGCCAGCTTGTGTGTGTACTTGAACCTGACCTCAGTCGTGTGGAAAATACAGCCCACTACTACATTTCAGTTCAGGGAAGAGTTTAAAAAAATGATTGGTCGATATTATGCATGAGGAATACATTTTGGTAAGTTGTAGCATACTGTATCTTTCAACAGTGTTCGTGTTCTTTTACCATTAGCTAGTAGAGATGATCGGTTCACGTGTGTTAGGGATCTGTCGTGTAAAGCGCCAATACTGTATTTATTGTTTGAATTGCGTAATAAAATGAACAGAATCTGAGAGCTGACATCGGTCTCCGTGTCCTTTTCTGTGCATGACAGAATTGATGTGTGGCGTGAGAGTGTGTGAAAAGTGTTGTGAG